AAACTTCAGGACTCAGGTCATAACGTTCTTCTTTTTTAAATAAAATCATAATTTTTATATAATCTCATATAAATTCCTACAGTGAATAAACAACATTCATTCTGATGAGAACCTCCTGGAGATTAATTAGGATTTCCATGTTTAATTAAAACAGGAGAAAAATACAGCCAAGTTGTGCAGAACTATAGTTGAACCCAGATCCCTTCTAGCCTTGTGGGTTGTTGTTTTCTGAGAGCCATTTGTTTGCGGTCGCCGGACAATGTCCTGCATCTGACCACAACTAGGATCTTTGTTCCGTAAACCCGGAGCCGGAGACATTCCCCTAATTAACTTCATTTCCTGTCAGAGGAACAGCCTGACCTCCAGTAACCTGCCCTGCAGAAGCTGCATTCTGATCAAGAGTTGTAGATCTGTGTGACGGTAGATTACGTCCGGTTGGCTGCCTCATCCCCATTCTTAAAAAAAAAAAAAATTAACCCAATATCATCCCCCTTTGACATTTTATTACTCAATGTTTAACATTCCTACTTTATATTAACAGTCACGGAAATAATATTGCCATTTCAACTTTTGGAGGGCTGTGGGCTTATGAGTAGTGTTGCGCCGATGCCATTTTTTGGCCCCGATACCGATACCCGATACCTGGCTGTGCAGTATCGGCCGATACCGATACCATAATAATGTAAAATAATTGCCATCATGGCTTTGTCAAGTTTGTGAAGCAGGAAAAAATCTAATACAAAGTGAATCCAGTAGAACTTTTTATTGCCTACCTGAAATGGGTGACAATAGTTGAATAAACTTATGGTTCTCAAAATGGTATCGGTGCCCTATTTGTTGGTACTCACCGATACCGATAACACCATTTTAGGGCAGTATCGAGGCCCGGTCCGATACTGGTATCGGTATTGGTGCAACACTACTTATGAGTAGCCACAGCAAAATAAATAAAATCAAAGACGTGGCCTACCATGACTATGAAGCTGATTCCAGTTGAATATGTGTCCTCTGCATTTGTCCCTAACTATGCAAGGGCAGTGATAGCCTTGTCAGTTCAGGGACTGACTGCAGTTCTACTGTAAGGTGCCTTGGTCAAGGTCAATGACATGTAACAACCTTACCATGCATATTGCTTTAGGTTAATAGATTAAATCAAATTAGGCTATTAATGCTAAAAAAAAAAGGAATTCCACCATCTCCCTTTTTTTTTTTTACAACTAGACTACTGATAAGAAGAGACTAAAACTTCATAAGGTGCTTCTTCTTTTTAAAATGTATCTCCTTCCAATCAGGCCGCCTTCCTTAATTTAAAGGAAATTCCAGCTATTTCCCCACATTAAGAATAAATGTAGGCAGAATGGTGGGTAGCACTGCTTCCTTGCAGCAAGAAGGTTCTGGGTTTGATTTCCGGCCTGGAGTCTTTCTGCATGGAGTTTGTATGTTCTCCCGGAGCATGCATGGGTTCTCTCCGGGTACTCCGGCTTCATCCCACAGTCCAAAAACATGACTGTTAGGTTAATTGGCTTCTCTAAATTCTACTTAGGTGTGAGTGTGATCGTGAATGGTTGTTTGTCTCTGTGTTGCCCTGCGATGGACTGGAGACCTGTCCAGGGTGGAACCCGCCTCTCGCCCATTGACTGCTGGAGATAAGCACCAGCACCCCTCGTGACCCCACTTGGGATTAAACGTGTTAGAAGATGGATGGATGGATGGAAGAAAAAATGTTCCCCTTGTTTCAATCAATGCTTGCTTGGTTAGTCAGCAGGAGGCAGGGTTGAGTTTTTACCTGGTTTTTAATGAACCAAGTGCAGCCTGGTTAGCAGAGACTGTACAGTGGGACAATGCTGAGGAGTATGGAGTGGAAAATGTGTTTACGGTTGGGTTTTAGTCACTTCAAAGATGAGATCAGAACTTTTCAGTGTTTTCAGTAATGATGGACCAATGAAGCCACCGTCCCCATGGGCCTATATGCAATAAGAAGCATATCTGCAGAAAGATGACTAAAATGGAGAGACAAACGAGTGATGATATGGAACTGGGGAGGAAGAGAAAGATGAAAGTGATGGGTTTCATAAATAAAATGGAGAAAGATTGAGCAGACAGTAAATAAACAAGAATAAACATTGAAGACATCTCTGACTATTTAGAGTTCAGTTGATTGAAAGGGCTTTATGTTACACTGTATAGTGCCCCCTGCTGACCAATATCTGCATTTTATTGTCTGTGTTTAAATTATATTGAGACTGAAGATCCTTTAGGGAGTTTCATACAATCTGGACGTATTACAAAAAACAAATCCCAATTAACTTGATACAGACCTGATTAAATTAGGCTGATTCTGCTAAAAGATCTTACACATAAATGTAGCCTGTACATCCTGCTCCTATAGGAGCTTCTGATTTATTTTAAGTAACTTTGTGAATGTGAACCTGTGGTTCCTGCTAAATGGGACATAATCTGTCCTCCTCAAACAATGACAGAGAAATGCTGAGATTGAAAAATCTCATTCTCTATTTCTCCACCTTTTGTTTATTCCTTTCCCTGGCTCCCTCAGGCAGGAACAGGTTGAACGACTTACTGTAAGTTTATTCACTGTTTGCTGTGGCTTTTTCTGATCCCTGAGGGAAAACAGACACACCCTGCTGAAACATTCTGGGTCATGCAAAAAAAGTCAACTCTGTAACCCTGACAGCAGCCAAAGCACATTCAGTGAGGACAGTATTCAGGTGCTGCCCCCTGCTGGTTAAGTTTCAGTAATGCACCTTAGGAGGCAGCAAAAACCACTGTGTACTTCACTGAACTATGGCAAAATTACCTACTTAGAAAATTCTTTGTTTATTTGGGTAATAAAAGTGGTCTAAAGGGAATATACTGAATATATCTAAGGTTGCAAAACATTTACCTTCCTGAAAACATTTATAACAGGAGTGGACCTTAAATTACCTTTATTGTTATACTGCAGAGATTAAGAGCACAATAAAAACACGTGATTGAACAGGGCGTAGTATGAATACAATGATCTTTTATGTAACTCCAACATTATATTCAGTTAGGTGGTTTATTTGAATTAGTAAGAACTGAGATACTTTCACAAACAGACAAACCTAATTTGGATTTTCTGCTTCATGTAAAAACAAAATGTTTTCTGTCCACTTTAAATCGTTTTTAACTGTAGTTTTTTTTTTTTCTAAATGTCTGCCAGTTTTTTTTATACAGAGACTCATCTTTATCTTTTCACCAACACAATCAAAAAAACGTCCTTTCAAAGAAAATGAAATGCACTGGGACATCAACAAGATGAGTTCAAAAAATGCCAATTTTTTATATATATCTGATTCTCAGTCTGATTCTCATATCAACTGACTTTAAGGAGAACATATTTGGATAGTATTAATTTATCTGAGTTATATTGTTTTTGACCTCTATGTCATCTTATTAATGAATTTTGTGTATTTTGTCCAGAAATGTGATGCATGTTGCTCTGCTTGCTGTATTTTGATAAAAATGCTGAGCTATGGGCAGACTGTGTAATGTATATTTTATACTAGATTAATAATATACTAATAATATATTACCTATAATGTTTACATTCATAGGAGGGAATACGGAAAATACAAAGGTGCTATAAAAAAAACAGAAGTTTTGCTATGTAAATGTAAAATATAATAATAGCTAATTAAAGAATAATAAACAATAGAGTATATTGACAATTTTCCATTAGTAAAAATAAACAAAAAAAAAAATCATACCTAAACCCACTGCTATTATTTTACCCTGAAATGAATATGAATATAAGGACATTTAAGCAGAGATGGCAAAAGTACTCACTTTCCGTACTTGAGTAAAAGTACAGATACTTGTGTTAAAAAATACTCTGGTAAAAGTGGAAGTACTGATTAA